ATAAATCAAACAGTTGCCAGGTTCAACGAAGTTGGAGTTCTAAAAAATCAGTTTAATTTTGCGTGGCATTAGTCAGAATTGAATAAGGTTTGTTTAGCATAAAGTAAACTGTTATAGTAGTCGAGATATCACGACCTTGATTCCGGTACTCCACATGATTGTAATTAAATAATATTAGCGATCCATTTATAGAGCTTGCTTAGAATTATATGCAACATGAATGCATTAGAGACATCTCAACAAGCTTCAAGTCCTCTTTTCCAGGGTATGCCATATAAATGTAAATAAATACAATTAACAATAGCATTAAATGATTCCTAAAGAACTGTGCCATATAATCATCGTATACAAAAATATTTATGCTTGGGCTTTGCTCATCTCATTTTTTTTTATACCCTGAACCCATTGAAAATGGGAAATCAGGGTATAATGGTTTTGTGAAAAGTGTGTAACAGGCAGAAGGAAGCATCGCAGACCCCATAAAGAATATATATTCTTGATCAGGATGACGAGCTGAGTCGATTTAGCCCTGTCCGTCATTCCGTCCGTATTATCTTTGAAGATATAACAGCTAGAGAGCTGAAATTTGCCACGCATATTCGTACATACCATACGCAGTACAAATCATATATCATCATATTTTTTCGATAACTTGCCCGATAACTTTTTTATCGAGAATAATTGAAAAATTGATTTTGTTTTTTTCAGCCTAATTTTAACACTTTTAGACCTGGAGACTTCGGATTTACCGTGTATATACATTTGATGAATATGTCGCTGCTAACTCCGCAGCCAGCAGAGCGCGTGATTATAAGTGCAGTATGAGTAGAATATCAGCTTGGAGGGTTCAGGGTATTTCCTAGTCGAGCAGTCTAGACTGGAGCCTTCTTACTTTTTTGTGGGCTAGTGCGATATTCGAGTTGAGTCGAAATCGAAATCGCGTCGAAGAAGACATGAAGGAAGACGAGACGAGATTCGCGCAAATTGAGTCGTTCGCGGGGCGTTGATTTGATTTATGCCAAACTAGACGCATCGTTGCCACGCCCACGCCGCCTACATTCATATCTAATGGATTTATGAACGTGCGATTTATAATGGGCGTGATTAATTTAAAAATATTTATGTTAAATATTTGACCGGATAATGGGCTCAAATATTATTAATCATTAGCATATCTATAAACGAATCAAAACAACAAAAATCGTTAAGTGGATCAGAGCTTGGGTTGCTTAGCTGGGTGGAAATCTTAACATAGATTGTGCTATAAAGACATTTAGAGCATGATCTATCAATTTCGATTATGTTGGCTTCAATAGACTTCCATAAAGTATTAGTCTAAATTTTTATATTGGTTGCTTCGATATGATTCAGAAAATTGGGATGTAGAGAATATTATTTATGAAATGAATAGTTCAGTTAAGTATGTAATATACAAATTATATTGAAATATATTTTATATCCTTATAGACGTGTGTATGTATATAGAAAAATGTAAACATCTTTAGATATATTTAAAATCATTATACATTACATTTATATTTAACATTATATTATTATAGACTCTATTGTAGTATAGCTCTAACAGAAATAGAAATTATAGAAAATTTCTTTTGGCTATTGTATAAACTCTATCAGTCCATAAACCAATATATAAATTTAAATAGCGTTTCTTATCGAAGCACAGTATTTGCTTATAGTATATTTTTATACGCTGAACCCATTGAAAATGGAAAATCAGGGTATATTGGTTTATATATGTATATATTTTTACAGTTCTCTTGGGACTTGATTTGGCTTTGCAGCGCTTTCTAAAAATTCCATTTTTTGGGCAGGAAACTATTTGTTATATTGTATAATACATATATGTGTAATATATTATGAAACGGGTCCCACCTGATACGATATAGAAGCTACATACTTGAGATATTATAGAGCATTTATATTAAGCAGATTAGATTTGAAAACAAAGAAAGAGAGAGAGTGAGTGAGAGAGAGAGAGAGGGGGGGAGAACAGCCGTATATATTATATATCATTTCTTGTGGACATTAAAATTTATAATGATGACAGTGGACATAGAGCTCGAAGGTAATACGTACGTTCGCGTAGGTGCTATAAATGAGGCTCGGACACAAGATTAAGTAAATGACCACGAAACGAGTGTAACAGGTAGCCCAGCCGGTTTGCACCTCTGCTATAAGCACATACATACTTGTACATACATATGTATATCTGTATACCTGTATGGGTCTGTGTATATATTGATATGTTGAGTGGATTTTGTATATGATATGTGAGGGCAACGAGGGAATTGCGAGCGAGGAAAATCCATTGATTGAGCGCTTAAATGTGTCTATCGATGGCATGGCTTGAAAGCATAACGAAAGGTAAAAGACACAAACACACTCACATAGAGTCGCACACAGCTGCAGTGCTCCACAGGTAGTTGGGCAGGTAAAGGAAATGTAATTACTGCATATTATCGGGCAGGTAAATAACAATGCAAGAACAAACAACACGCGGGATAGTGAAAGCAGTTGTCAATAATAAAATGAACACCGAAAAAAAAGCAAATTTCTTTCTGCTTCTTCACACACACATACATCTATATATATATATATATACGCTGCAGATACAGATACGTTCGTATGCCTGTGTGTGTGTGTGTGTGTGTATCTATGTATCTGGCAGTAACTTGTTTCTCGTTGCATTGTTGCAGCCCGCGTGGAGCTGAGATGCTTTATTCAGCTCAATTGACGAATTCCGAGAACTTCGTCGTCTACTTTGTATTCTTCTCCATCTACCTTGTCTTGTTTATGTGGAGCGTTACATATACAGAGAGGCATGCACACACACACACACACACTCACACGCACTTGTGCGACAGGTAATGCAGCAATGCAGCTTAGGTGCAGCCCAGCGTTGCCGGACTGATGGCATATGCAGCGTATATGTATGCATTTTACACTCTCTTTGCGCTTCTTTATGCTTCTCTCCTTAGATTGAACAAGTTTTTCTCCTCAAGCATTGCCAGACTGTCGGCAAGTGAAGTATGCTTTACTCTTGCGTAGATACGACATGATTTTCGGTTTTCTTTCTTTCTTCTGCTACTTCTCCCCAACTCCAACAAGTTTCTTTTCAGCGCTGCCAGAGTGTCGTCAAGTCAAGTTATTAACTTTGCTTTAACTGCTATTCTGCTTCTTCTCTTGTATCGCCTATGATTTAAGGCCTGAATAGAAGTGCTACTTAAACTAATCTAAAGCCAAATAAATGTTGCCAGGCTTTTTTTATATTGGAAAATTAGCATATTCTGTCTTTTTGAAGTGACTTGACTATAAAGTTGATATATGTTGGGTTCGACCACTTTTACAGTTATAACACTTGAAATCGACCCATTCAATGCATTTTAAAATATTAATTGGCCTTGCCATACTGTTCAATTTGTGTTTTAAGTCAAGCTACATCAGATCTTTAGTCGGTTATAAAGTGGGGATAGTACTGTCAGGCTGGGAATATTTTTATATATTATTTAAGAGGTTTTATGCGCCTAATTTTTTCATATATTTACCATCATCTTATTTTTTCTGGCTAACTGTTGACTGTTTTATATTCTATAGAGTTTCCGAATTTACAACTTCCCAAAAAAAAAAAGGAAGGAGAAAAGGTAAATTCGTCATTGCATTTGTTAGCTGCCGTGGATGTTGGAAGTTTTGGAAATACCCCTTTAGCTGATGTTTGTATAGGTATAAAGGGTTTATTGTAGCGCCTGCAGCGTTGCCAGATGTGCAGCTGGTAGCCAAAAATGTAAACGCAAATGCAGTTAAACAGCAATTGGCAAACACACACACACACAAAGGTGGCCAAGTATGTGTATTGGCCAAGTTGAAGCTGGCTTAAGAAAATGGCGACATTTCAGCATCAGTGGCATCACTGACTCATGGCATGTTGTCCTCCCCCCTTCACTCACTCTTTCTCCCTCTCTCTCTCTCTCTCTTTCTCTGTGTTCCTACTTGACCCCGCTGCTGCCCTAGCTAACCACCAACATACTATGCCACTGTATATATATATATCTATATATATATATATATATATGGATGAGTGTGTGTGTGTGTGTTACCAACTCAAGAGACGCGCGTCTCAGCTTCCAGTTAGCGCTTGAGTCTCGACGGCGCGGACTACACTAAATCATGCGCTCTCCCAGCGGCAGCATAAAACCCGACTGCACTGATGTGCTATGTGCGATAACAAATATACCCTGTGGTAAATATTTTATTTTAATGTTGATATTGACATTAAGTATACTCACATTCAAGTGTGATATTATTAATTCAATGTATTTAAACGTTTATTTATATTCAAATATAATTATGGTTTAAACAACAATTACATTTGCCTGTTACTTACCTAAGATATCTTAACTAAAATACCCACACTTTAAAAGCCCTGCTCATTGGTATAAAAGAAACAAGTCTGACTTCAGATATAAAAGCAGAGACTGATTGCATACATGTATGTTAATGTGTGTGTGTGTGTGTATGCAGTTGTGTTTATGTGCGCACTCGAGACGCGAACTCAACAAGATCCACCCCAAAAATAGCAACATATTTTACCTGGCCAAACACAATTCACACTCTACTCTCGCTCTCGCTCTCGCTCTCACTGCTTTGCGCTCTGCTATGTGTGCGTCGCTCACTGACTTGTTGGTAAACGACTCAAGCTTGGCTACTTTTGCGCTCTCGCTCTCCCTCTGCCGCTATCTGGACCTGTATGTGTGTGTGCTGGAGTGAGCAGTTTGAAATACTCTCTCTGAACACATTCGTGTCACTCGGGTTTGGGCTCAGTTGAAATTTTCTGTTCGAAGAGTGCGCTTAGTGGTCGCTGCTGCGACGGCGTTTCAAATATATAAAGTACCAAATACACACGACTGACGATACGTTCTTTTTTTTTTTTTTGTATTTCGTTGTTTTTTTTTTGTCGGTCAACAACAACAACAGTCGCTCTTTCTCTGCGAGTTCTTCATTTTTGTTTTGTGTGTGCGTGTGTGTGTGTGAGCGACTGTGCGTGCGTGTGTATGGGAGAGCATCGGCTCAAATACACTCGAGGGAATTTTTTTGAGATCAGTTCAGCGCACGGAGCAGCGGCGAGTTGAGCCTCCCACGAAACAGTTCGACGGCTCAGTACGGCTCGCACGATGTGCATTCTCTCAAGCGTTATGTTGGACAAGTGATGTGTGAACGAGTGAACGAGCGCAGCAATAAAGCCCAATTATATATATGCATATATATAAACAATCAATCAATCCATCAATCAAGCCATTCAACAATTGGTTAAACAAGTTAATGCATTAAAAAAAAAAAAAAAATAAATAAAAACAGCTTCAAAAACAAAAAAACTGCCAGAAACCAGACGAAACGCGGAGTTAGCGACAGTCGATCAATCAAGTGATCAGAGGACAAAGGATTCATCAAGCTGCCAATCAATCGATTTATCGATCCATCAAGCAAACACAAAACTAAAGCAACTATTTTTCTGCCAATCGATCAATCAGTAAATCGATAACGACAAAGTGCCAAAATGTTTGATGTATTTGGCTCCGTAAAGGGGCTACTGAAAATCGATCAAGTTTGCATCGATAACAATGTCTTTCGCATGCATTACAAGGCGACGGTGATCATATTGATTGCCTTCTCGCTGCTCGTAACATCTCGCCAATATATCGGAGATCCCATCGATTGCATTGTCGATGAGATACCACTCGGTGTGATGGACACCTATTGCTGGATCTATTCAACGTTCACGGTGCCCGAGCGTCTGACAGGTGTCGTTGGCCATGATGTCGCCTCGCCCGGCGTCGGTTCCCATGTCGATGGCGAGGACAAAGTCAGATATCACAAATACTATCAGTGGGTTTGCTTTGTGCTCTTCTTCCAAGCGATCTTGTTCTATGTGCCGCGTTATCTCTGGAAGTCGTGGGAGGGCGGCCGACTGAAGATGCTGGTGATGGACCTCAACAGCCCCATTGTGAATGATCAGTGTAAAAACGATCGCAAGAAGATATTGGTCGACTACTTCATTGGCAATCTGAATCGTCACAATTTCTACGCCTTTCGGTTTTTCGTCTGCGAAGCCCTCAATTTCGTCAACGTCATTGCGCAGATCTATTTCGTAGACTTCTTCCTGGATGGCGAGTTCAGTACGTATGGCAGCGATGTCTTGAAGTTCACGGAAATGGAGCCCGATGATCGTATCGATCCGATGGCGAAGGTCTTTCCAAAGGTCACCAAATGTACATTCCACAAATATGGTCCATCCGGTGGAGTTCAGAAGTTCGACGGACTCTGCGTGCTGCCATTGAACATTGTGAATGAGAAGATCTATGTGTTCCTCTGGTTCTGGTTCATCATTTTGAGCATCTTGTCGGGCATCTCGTTGGTCTATCGTATTGCCGTTGTTATGGGACCAAAATTGAGGCATCTGCTGCTGCGCGCTCGCTCCCGCTTGGCCGAGAGCGAAGAGGTGGAGAAGGTGGCCAACAGGTGCAACATTGGCGATTGGTTCTTGCTCTATCAACTGGGCAAGAATATCGATCCATTGATCTACAAGGAGGTGATCGCTGATCTATATCGTGAAATGGGCGGCGATGGTCAAAGTCCACAAAAGCAGCCTTTCGAGGCTTAAGATCGATGGAGATGGAGCAAGAGCGAAAGAGAGAGAGAGAGAGAGAGAGAAGGAAAGCGAGCGAGATAAAGAGAAAGAGGAGGAGAGAGAGAGAGAGGAAGCGAGCGAGAGAGAAGAGTCGAATTTGGAACTAGGAGTCGGCGGAGCTGGGAGTCGGAAGTTGAAGCTAGAGTCAATGTCGGCAGCTATCAGTGGCAGCGTGTCAGCGATTGTAAGTAAAACAAATAAATATCAATTTCCCCTCAACTCCGTTTCCCCCACCCTGTCCACTCAATGAATGCGCACACGTACATAGAATTCCCCTCCTACCATCTTCAATCAAAACATATACATACATAAACATTCAGCAGCAAAGAAACTGTAAATCAGACAGACAGAGGAGAGAGAGAGATTGAGAGAGAGAGAGAGAGAGAATAAGAGATCGAGAGAGCGAGCTAGAAAGAGCGACCACTCCAAAATTTGAACAATCATTGTTAACGAACAATCTTTCCCCTACCCATAAAAAATTCACTCATGCTCAGACGCTCAGCAGAGCTGCCAGATAGTTAGCATATTTCTGATCTGTTTCCTTAATGAATTTGCTGCTGTTTACATGCTTTATTGCTATAAATAAATCAATACATACATATATTAATTATAGCTCTAATATTAAACGAGCTTAGCTAGCATATTCAAGACCTACAGTTGCCTGTTAATAGATGCGATTGAGTAATACTTGGTTATGCAAAGCGATCTGTGCTAACAGTGCTCTGTTAACGTGCGATCATTGTGTGAAAGAGCGAGCGAATCTGACGTCACAAGCGATCTGTTAACCGTGGTAAATAGCATAACCACGCGCTTTTAACAGCAGCTCAAAACTCACGCGCTCGCCCAACAACATTTCACAGAGAGCGTGAGAGCGAGCAGAGCGCACACACATGCACTGCTGGTCTTACGCGCTCATTTAAGCGTAACGCAAGCAGCCTCAAGTCAACGCTTGCGCAAGCGAGATAACCGCTGAAGCAGCGACGCGACGCATGCGCGGCTAGGCAGCTAGAGCTGTGTATACCCGGCTCCCTCGCGCCCCATAAAGTACATTCCAGACTTCTCTTTTGCTTCTTGTCGCTGAATCTGCATGCAAACTGGTTTGACCAGCCATGCCTTCATCCCGGTGGAGGCTAGTGGGGAGCAGCCGGCGCAAGTTCAGGGCAATCGTGAGGGCGCATTTGCCAACAAGAAAAATGCTCATCGGCCACGAAGAAATCCGTCTGCTAATTAAGAGACACTTATTAAGAGATAACCGCGTGATGCCAGATAGAGAGTGTGAGAGAGAGAGAGAGCAAGACACGGATAGAGAGCTATAGTTTAATTGGATACGCGACCAGTAGTATACCCTGTGACGATGTAGCGATTCCTTTGAGAAATACCAAAGGTTTTATTCGTACAATTATTCACAGCTACATATGTTTTACTCTTTATAATCTCAAATAAATCGGCTATTCTGAAAGCTAGAGCAGAAAAAAACTGACAAATGGACAATGCTCACATATATGTATATATTTGTGTCATGTCTAACAAATCTAGACATATTCAACGATAATAACGATAATAATAACTCAGACACTATTCGAGTTAAAGTTCTAAAATTTCTTATATTAGCGCGTGCAGACAAGTTTTAATGAATTAAATAAAGTTATGTCAGCAATATAAATTGCAGATCTGTCTGTGCGATACAAAATACATAAAGATATGTATACATACATACGTCATCGCACTTCACATTGTAGTACAGCTCGCGCTATGCTTGACCTTATATCAAATAGCACAAGAAAAAAACCACTCCAACTATACAATTGATATTTTTTTTTTCTAATCAGTTCACCATGTCATTTGTCTTACTCTTTCGTCGTCTGGTATTTTTTGTTGGTGTTCTTTTTGTGTTTGCTTTCCATTTTTATATGCCTCGCTTTTATATGTTCTATGCGCGTACAGACAACGCCAATCAGAAGTTAGGCAACATAGTGCCCTGCCGCCCTTATCTTATCAATATCGCCACACTACCGCCTCCTCTAGCCGACATACTTTAAGAGCTTTCAAGCCCGTAATAAGACCGAAGAAAATGATGCTGATGGTTTATCACATTTTAAGTGATAAAGTGTTGCAATTAGCACACATTTACCCCATTGCACACGATCACATTCACACACACACATGGACATGCTTGTAATTTACAATTAATGCAAGTTGGAGAGATATATAAGACTAGAGGCTACCCTATAGAATAGCCAATAAAAGAGGTACGAGTAGAGATTCATAAAAGTCTTCAATAGAGAAACTCAGCTCTAATAGAGTTCCAGATCTTTTACACAAAGCAAACCAATACTCATACATGTGATAGCCATTTAAACTTACATATGTATATGTATATATAAATACAGTTATTCAGCATTGTAATGATCGGCACTTGGTTTTATGAATGAAAATTTCCAATGTGAAATGGCAAATGGGCGGAAGGCGACCTTCAAAAAGAGAGAGAGAGAGAAAAAAACAACGTTTGACACGCGAAAAAAACGAAAATGAGAAGCGCATAGAGAGGCTTTATAGATTGTTGTTATTATTTGCATTAATATTGTGGTTTGTTCATTTGTTGTTGTTGCACGCATATTCACTTTGTATTCGTTTGATCGCATTCTTTTCTTTTCAATTTTTAATTGCATTAATTACTTTCAATTAGGCAAAAGACGGCCGCGCACTGAGCCCAGATAATTGCCATTAATAATAGTGTCAAAGTTTAGCAGTCGAAATATATAGGATATAGTATGTTAAAGCAGAAAGAGACGTAGCAGAAAACGCCGAATACACATTACGTATACGCTGCTTATATAATATTGCGCATACGCCGCGCTTGTCCACAAACAACAAAGAAAATTTTTTAAAATTTTAATTGCTTTATTTTTACGTAAAATTAAAAACATTCGCTATAAAAAATATGCGAAAATAAATATATGTACATAAATAAGTAAATTTATATATGTGCATATACATATATTTTTTACTATTATTAATTTCTTAACTAATAGCAACGAGCAAAAAAAAAAAAAAATAAATAAATAAATAAACAAATAAAAACAAAAGAAATGCTTTCCTATTGGTTTATTATCTATGGAAAAAAATAATAGATAAAATATATATGTATTCCCAAATTTCAGTCATTGCTAAGAAAACAAATAGCAGAAATGTCGAAAAGAAATAAGTATCCATTTATTCTTGTTGGTTTTATACCCCGAACCCATTGAAAATGGGAAATCAGGGTATAATGGTTTTGTTAAAAGTATGTAACAGGAAAAAGGAGGCTTGGCAGACCTCATAAAGTATATATATTTTGTTATTAAATACATTTTTTCTTTTATAAATTAATTTACGTATTTTTCATACCTAAATCCAAAATGGAAATTCAGGTTATAAATATTAAAATGTGTGTAATAGGCAGAAGGTGGTGTGACAGACCCCATAAAGTATATATACTCTTAAACAAGGTGACGGACTGAGTGGTGTTACCTGTTAGTCTGTACGTCCATCTTTCCGTCTGATCCTATGAATGAAAGCGTCATTCTCTATGCGGCTATGAGAGCTAAAAATTTTTAATTTTTTTTTGGGTCAGGCGCACATTGAGTGTATTTAAAGAATCTATAACTGTTTATGTTTTAGTTCTATGGATTAAAGAGCTTAACAAACATCATTCTGTTATATATTTTATTCCGGTTATTTATATATATATTTTTAATTTTCAAAAAAAAAAAAGACCTATTTTAAATATGTTTTGTTTATTTTCTTAAATTTAAATTTGTATATATTAAAAAAATACTATTGGTATTTTTTGGTAGTTTTTTGAAAATTTTCTAATATTATATTCAACAAGTGTTCTGCTACATTTGGTGGCAACTTAATTTAGCTTTACACTTGAAATTTTAGGGGAATAGATAAAAGATTAGATATATGTATGTACATATGGGAAGGGAATTACAATATGTTTATTCTGTCTCTTATTCACTTCAGCCCTTGCCCTTTAATGTTGTTTTATTCATTCAATTAATTTGTAACTATCCCTCTTTCTCTTCCTCTCTTATAGTTGCACGCAGCCAAAGCTAAGTATAACAATAAGAAAAGAGGGCGTGGCCTTGTAAGCTAATCATGAGCTAAACAAAGTAAACAATACAGAAATACACACCCATGCAACACACATATCAACGAATTCCGCTTGTGTTTCACATGTTTTCACGAATTCCAAAACATGTGAAAACCAGTGCAATGAATGAAGAAGTTAAAAAAAAAGTCCATAGTACTAGACCAGAACCCGATCCCCGATGCCAACGACAATCAGAAAATGTTCAAACAAAAGACAAGCTACAGATCGAACTATATAGCTAGATATATATGTTTATATATTGAGCTATAGGTAAACAGTTAAAAGACGCAGCATAAAAGACAACAACAACAAAAGTGCAGGCCAACTGGAATGCGAGTTGAATAAAATATTTTTTATAAAACATAAACTACATATATACACTACTATGTATATGTATATAAATTGATCTACATATAAATATATATGTATGTATATGTATGTATATACATATATATCTATATGATGCAAATGCCACATGCGATTAATATTTATGCTAAGAGTTGTGATCATTGATTAAGCAGTTTATAAAATTTATAAACAAATCTACAAAAAAAAAAAAACAAAAAAACAAACATGAAAAATAAAATTTAAAATAAAATTGCAATAATAATAAGCACAACAACAACAACAACTATGGAAACAAATGCAACAATAATTATAAATATTACAAACAAATTATTATGAATATATACAACAATATTTTATAATGAAAACAATATATTTTAATAACAATTTTTGCGCATATTAAAAATTTACATAATTATATAATATATATAATTTTTTTTTTTTTTTTTAATTTTACACATATTTTTGTAGCAATTTTTTCGCCAGCAATTTTTGTAGCATTTATTAATCTAGCTTTTAGAAAATTTTAGTTTAGCGCAATTTTTTTTTTTAGATTGAAAAACTTGAAGAAGAAAAGAAAATGAAAATATAAAAATACACATAATATTTATACTAAAACATTATAAGCAGCAAAAATATTTTTAGTTATACGAAAGACTCAAAAGCAATAAATAAAAAAATAAATAAAATGCAAATGAAGAATTTTAATAACAAAAACAAAATATAAATATAAAATAAAGAAACTTTTACAGCTGAAAATTGTATTGCAGCAATTTTTTGTTGCTTAATTTTTTCATATATATATGTATATGTATGTATGTGAGGAATGAACTATGTAAGTGCGCACATTTACAAGCCAGCTTGATATAGCATATATATTTTTTATATAATTATCGATTTATCGACTTATCGAGTGTGTAAATGCGCCACAGGCCGTAATCTAAGTTTTATATATAAATATATAAATAAAAGAGAAACAATTTAAAATACAAAACAAAAGTATTTGATTTTTTTTTGGACGGCATTGCGAAAAACACAATATTCTCTATTGGTATAGACTTAAGAGGGAATCAAATATCAAATTTGATAGCTATACCTCTTAAAGCATTCGAGCTATGCTACAAAAAGTAAGTATGTTAAATGAAAACTGGAGGAATAATTAATGTTGGAGCTGTTAATGATATATCTATCTGATTATTATATGATAAACCTCTAAATTTTATAAGCCTGAAGAGTCACATATATATCTCTTGAATCAGTGCCAGTTGAAACACTATAGAGAGTGTTTACACAATTTGTAAATGGGTAGAAAAGTGAGAAACCTGAACTCTCAGTTGACCTCCGATGAACTCAACTAACAAACGCGTCATAAATCTAAGCAGACAGGCAAACGAGGTTGCGATAAGACGAAGCTGAAATACTCTAGAGTAAGAAACCATCGTAGATATGATATATGTATATATAGACACTGAAGGTACGGCAATCACAAAAATCATTCCGACTCCTTACCTAATCAACGTCTTTTGCATAGGCTCTAATCCGAACTGCATTCCTTGTATGCCACAAAGGCGACTCTTTCATTTGAATACTATAAGACCCTCATAAAGGCTATGCATGCTATCATTAGATAGCATTACATAACACATTGCTGTTGGGGAACAGAAATTGTTAAAGCAAATACTGAATTTTACGATACTATGAAAGACCTAAACAAATCTTTGTCTAAACAAGTACAGTATGCACTCGTTGCCGTGACAAATAGTTGAAGTATGTTCTATATCTATTTTATGATTCTCTCTTATGTCATAAGCTCTTGCTCACTATATCGGCTGTAGAATTTTGACTAGGCTTTTTTTTAAGACTTTCATTTGAAGAAGAATATTTATTCAAGAGGCAGTGTAAACGAGGGATAAAGCTAGAGAGAGACAGGGAGATAGGGAAACGAAAGAGAGAGCGGGGAGCAAATGATAGAGAGAAAGCCAGGAGACTATAATAAATGAGAGATAGCAGATATACGAAGAGAAATAAAGGTAGAAAACTGGAGGAAAGAGATAGGAGATGGGAGAGAGGGCTTCTTGCCTTTGAATGAGGGAAAAATAAAAGTTGGACTTTGTTCCAATTTGTATGATGGTAAGGTTTGTTTGTTGCATTTGTCGCAAATTCGACTTGAAGCCTCAACGGATGCCAACGAAGTGAATCGCATCCGCTGCACACGCCAATGCATTCAATCTAACGATCCGGCATTCAAACACGTTTCTATTGACTTCTTATTTTTATTTTCGCTTATTCTATTTTCTGTTTGACTGAGTCAACGTTTTAGTGGTCTGGTTTATTATGGCTCCAACGTCGCTCGCGATTATGGCAATTCTGACTGATCGACGGCATCCAGCAGCCAGCAATCGAAATCGGACTCTAAATTGGGCCTCAGATCGGATTACACTTGCGCCACAGACGGTCGCCGGAGCAACTCGTGCCATTACTCGATTATGATGTTATTTGTTTACAGCAAAACTTTTCAGTTACTGAATGGTATGGCAATGCTACAACAGGGACAGCCACAGCACCGTCTTCAGTCTCTGCTCATGACTAGTATTTCAATTATATATATATAGAGTATATATAAAAACGCCATCGAAGTCTAGTTGAATTATTCGAAAATTGCACTTGAAGCACTTGAATTTATGTTTACAAAAAGTTATCTTCACGAAGTGTGAATTACTAGCTTCATATTTTATTTGACATGTTTTCGATTGGCATGCAGTTTTCTCTCAGAGCTACCATGCTATAATAAGATGCCACAATATATATGAATATACTCTGTATACAGGATCACGTCTAAGATATGTATGCTAAATTAATTTTTGGTTTGGTTCATCTTTATTTTCGGCAAATTCTGATTCATTATACTTCTACTTCTACTGATTCTCGAAAATGTAGGGCCCTAATTCGATGAGGCAACGCCACGATTGCGCAATTGAGGACGCACTCAATATTATTTTAAAGGGCTTCGAAGACAGCAGAAGCACCTTGGCATAATTGCATTATATCTCATGATCCCCTCAATGAAAATATAGATTGTCATACAAAAATATAATAAATAAATCTTGAAAGAACCAAAAATTCCCTATACTCTCCGAGCACATCTCTTGCTCGATTTTTTGCTGAGTTTCCAGACAAGAATTTCAACTGAAATCTCTTAAATTTTAATGTCTTGAAAGGCAACTTACTGAGAGTCTGAGCCGAGCATCATCAAAATATGCTAAGAGGCCTTTCTTCAGGCTATCCATTTCATTTGAGTTGAAATATCATTAAATGTAATCATACTCTGTGGTTAACCTGGCGAAACAGGGTATTTGAGGCTCTTAAAGTCCATTTAATATTTGTATGTAAGACATATATATATATATATATATATATATATGTCTTATGTGTGAATTGGTTAGTCAACTTGATTTCGTTTGCACTGCAAGGTAGCTGCGAAATAAAATAATAAAAGTCTCAACATACAATCTACCCCTTGGATATATGTATGTACACATACATATATCGCACACATGGCATATGCGTATAGAAGAGGGGCGTCAGTCTAAGCAAATTATCATATCAAATTGAATAAAACGCTGCAATTGTCCAGGCGTGCCCTCAATAAATAAGTAAATAAATAAATATTACGCCAGAAGAAAAGCGAAATTCTATGGCGTTACCTAACTTGCTTCCATTCACAGTTGCAAGGGGCAGAGGGGGGTGGTAGGGCGGCAGCAGCTGTTTAGTTGGGGTCAACAGCAAGCCAGTCAGTTGCAATTGGAATGTGAGAAGCGCCCACAAGTTAAGCAATGCCCTCTCAAGCTTCAAGACAATTGCAATATAAATAGACATGAGTCTAATTGAATTACCTGAAAGCTGACGCAATTAAATTTCAGTGCGCTTAACGGTCAACGGTATGACATAAAAAGCAAACCAGAAGGGTAACAATCGCTTTACCACTTACTCATTCGCTTAAGGATAGACCAACAAGAAGAAGAAAAAATAATAATAATGGAGATATGCTTCATAAGTGAAGCAAAGCTGCCATATAATTACGTAGAGTTTGGGGAGTATAGCGCAAACATGTTGTGGCCAGTGAAACGTTTACGAAAACAACAGAAGCGGGAAATTGCAAGGGCGCAAGATCATTTGCAATGAGTTAATAAAGCCAATAAAATAAAATATGTTTCATAAAAAGTCGAAATAAAAGTGAATTGCAAGTAATACCAGTAAAACGTTTAGGAATACAGCACCGAAGAAAAAAAAAAAAAAAAAACTTTTTCCTAGATTTATGGAAGTAACTTGAACTTATATAGCTGTATCTCAAATATATGGAAGCATTGTAAAATTTATTTATTTATGTATGCGTCAAGTGTAAGACTGGCCAGTAAAATGTTTAAGAATGATTCACAAAAAAAAAAAAAAAATTAAGCGTCCCATCTTTTTGGGAATATTTGTTAATGGAATGCTTAAGAATGCAATTATGGAATATGTTTAATATGCTTGATTTTCCATATCAAAGTCAATTGAAATTTTGCAACTTTTAACTAGACCGAATAAAACTCAGAGAGTTCTCAAGCAACACTCATATGCAATATCCTGGTATTTGTGGAGCCCAGCTTTTTTTTTTGGAAACTATTACGAAACACTAAAAAAAAAAAAAAAAAAAAAAAACAAACACGAATTGAATTGGACAAGAGCTGAACTACATGGGTTCTCCCCACGGGAAACCGCAGCGACAGTTTTTGTTTAGATTTCACAGCAAATTCACAGCACAAAAAAAAAAAAAGAAAGAGAGACAATAAACAGAAAGAGAGAAAAAATAATCACAATAAATCTGACGAATGACAAAACAAAAGACAAAAGCAAGGAAAAAAAAAACTTTTGATAGTTGACTTTTAAATAAATAAATAAATTGTTTCTAAATTTAAGCTTAGACCCCACACACACATATACAGAGAGAGAAAGAGAGGGAGAGAGAAAGAGTGCACGAATGGGCGATATTCTGGGTTATACAATTCGCGGCTGAGGTCGCCAATGATCCATGCCATTTCGCATACATTTAACAGCTTTGCCAATTTGTTTAGATTGAATTAAAATTACAATTTGGTTGACATTTCGCGCGGCAATTTGTTTGATACGAATTAACCTTTCTGAATGATGCAACGTTCAAGGTTATTTGCTAAGTAAAAAAAAAATAAAAAAATAGAAATAAATAAAATTTTATTGTCTACATTATTCCAGTTTAATGTTGATTTTAGATTTGTTTGTTGAACGAGCTTTAGTTTAGTTGAAGTGCCAGCACATGTAGATTTTTATTTATTTATTTTATTTTAAGATATTCACAAAAGAAAGAAACACTATTAAAATATATTATATAATTGTTGGGAATCTTAAAAATAAATATAGTAGTAAATGTGGGAGCTCTGCTGTAAGATGGCCTGAAAGCAAGTATTTAATTAATTTCATGGAAGAACACATGGTAATATGTATATTTTGTGACCATTTCATTAACGTGAAATTCGCTATGCAATGATTAATCCGATGAGTAGAAAGGTTGCTCCGTAAGGAACAGAGAAATTAAGTTAACAAGCGGGGCGAATCAATATTATCAATAATCAACATATGCAGAAAAAAACATTGCTCAGAATTGTGCTACGATTGAGTAATGATGAAGGATCTATAAGGAAACCTCTACTATGGTAAGATGCAAAATGGAGATTAGGACCCCAGTTTAGATGACGCAGCGCGAAGAGGAGAAACTGTTTTTGGACCGATTCGATGCGATCCTTATGCGACTTAAGCTGGGGAGACCAATATTTTGAAACATGAAAGTTTAGTAATAAAGGGGTGTTTAAACTCCTTTAATAAAGCCTTTAGTCTAAATGCCAAATCAGGGTATAAAGTCTTTGTGAAAATTAAAAAAAAAAAAAAAAAAACAAAATGTATAAAAAAAACAAAAAACCAAACTGGTACTCGAACCAACAACCTATATGTTCGCGAAAATACGGCGCCTCTACTAACAACGCCACTTCCTAATTTAAAATAATAATAAAAAACAATTTCGCTCTCACCCGCCTGGGGGTTTGAACCTGGGACAATTACGGCGTCGCGCACCGCATCTACCAACAGCGCCATTCCAGACAGATGAGAAAATGTAATAGTATCCTTTATATAGGCACTGTATTTAGGATTTGCAACTAGTAATTAAATTTTCAGTGCAACTCTGAAACACAGAGTTGCATGATATTAGACTATCGAAGTAAGCCTTCGTTGCCTATAAAAGGAGCACCTTCTCAGTGCTTTCCTCAGTCTGCCTCTGGGTAGTACTCGGTGCAGGCTGATTTTTTTTTCATATTTTTTTTGTATTGGAAATTTTTTTTTTTGGTTTGGGATCCTCATCGCCGGCAACAGAGATATATTCCTGTTCGTCCGACGAATGTAAGTCCTCCACACTGTGGAGAGAATTACTTGGGGTGTTACACACATAGATTGTGTTTGATATGAGGATTGAGGTGGAAGTGTCTATAAGACATCCTCTTGACTCCTGCTGCTCACCCAGTGCAGGATGATTTTTTTTTTTTTTTTTTTTTTTTTTTTTTTTTGGGATCCTCATCGCCGGCAACAGAGATATATTCCTGTTCGTCCGACGAATGTAAGTCCTCCACACTGTGGAGAGAATTACTTGGGGTGTTACACACATAGATTGTGTTTGATATGAGGATTGAGGTGTAAGTGTCTATAAGACATCCTCTTGGCTCCTGTTGGGTATCACCCAGTGCAGGATTTTTTTTTCATTTAAATAAGATTTAAAAAAAATTTTTTTTTTGATTTGGGGTCCTCATCGCCGGCAAACAGAGATATATTCCTGTTTCGTCCGACGAATGTAATTTGTCCGCACTTAAATTCGTTTTTGTGCGAGTCCTCCACACTGTGGAGAGAATTACTTGGGAAATACACACATAGATTGTGTTTGAGGATTGAGGTGGAAGTGTCTGTCAGAGACTATTGTTTTTTCATTTAAAAAAAGATTTTTTTTTCCATTTTTTTTTTTGGGTTTGAGATCCTCATCCCCGGCGGCAGGATATATTCCTGTTTCGTCTGACGAATGTAATTAGTCCGCACTTAAATTCGTTTTTGTGCGAGTCCTCCACACTATGGAGAGAATTACTTGGGGTGTTACACACATAGATTGTGTTTGCAAAACGAGGATTGAGGTGGAAGTCTATAAGACGTCCTCATAACCGGCGGCGGGGATATATTTATATTTACAGTATTTATTCATCATTTTATTGATTGGTTTTATAATATCGTGTATATCACCTCTATCCATTAAATTACTCCACTTTCTTCTTGAATATATTTTTCGCACGTGCTCCGATAGCATCCAAGGAGGTTGTTCTGGTGGCGTATTGTCTCCAAGTCCATTGGCCGCTTGACTGAAGTAGATCTTATTATATCGTCTATTATCTCTATTGAATTGTTCCACTTTCTTCCTGAATATAATTTTCGCACGTGCTTCGATAGCATCCAAAGAGGGTTATTCTAGTGACGTATTGTCTCCAAGTCCATTGGCCGCTTGACTGAAGTAGATCTTATTATATCGTCTATTATCTCTATTGAATTGTAACTTTCGCACGTGCTCCGATAGCATCCAAGGAGGTTGTTCTGGTGGCGTATTGTCTCCAAGTCCATTGGCCGCTTGACTGAAGTAGATCTTATTATATCGTCTATTATCTCTATTGAATTGTTCCACTTTCTTCCTGAATATAATTTTCGCACGTGCTTCGATAGCATCCAAAGAGGGTTATTCTAGTGGCGTATTGTCTCCAAGTCCATTGGGCGCTTGATTGAAGTAGATCTTATTATATCGTCTATTATCTCTATTGAATTGTTACACTTTCTTCTTGAATATAACTTTCGCACGTGCTCCGATAGCATCCAAGGAGGTTGTTCTGGTGGCGTATTGTCTCCAAGTCCATTGGCCGCTTGACTGAAGTAGATCTTATTATATCGTCTATTATCTCTATTGAATTGTTCCACTTTCTTCCTGAATATAATTTTCGCACGTGCTTCGATAGCATCCAAAGAGGGTTATTCTAGTGGCGTATTGTCTCCAAGTCCATTGGGCGCTTGATTGAAGTAGATCTTATTATATCGTCTATTATCTCTATTGAATTGTTACACTTTCTTCTTGAATATAACTTTCGCACGTGCTCCGATAGCATCCAAGGAGGTTGTTCTGGTGGCGTATTGTCTCCAAGTCCGTTGGCCGCTTGACTGAAGTATATCTTATTATATCGTCTATTATCGTCTATCGTATCCGCGTATTGCAAGGACAGATCACGAAGATATTGTTTTGGAGAGCTTTCAATGTGGTTTCTTATTCTAGTAGTTTTAATGGATGAAGTCTTATAAATCGTCTATTATCGTCTTACTATTGAAATTTTTCACTTTCTTCCTGGATATAATTTACGCACGTATTCCAATGCCATCCACGGAGGTTGAAGCCCAGGTTTTGACTACGCACCCTCGTCGTTGATTCATTATTTTGGTGGTACTTATAATTACTCATTATAATATTATTATTATTTATCTGCGTATTGCAAAGACAGATCACGAAGATGGGGCTTTGGAGAGCTTCCAATGTTACATGGTTTCGTCATTAGTTTTATTGGCTGAAGTTAATCTTATAAATCGTCTATTATCGTTGGTGAAGTTTTTAAAGAAATCCGGATGTAAAGAGGTGGAGCCTTAATGAAGTACTTGATGTTTTTTGGGTCGTTTGTGGATCGCGCTCTGACTATGACAGTCGGCATAAGGATATATTACTTTTATGGACTGTTATTAATGTATTCATCTAAGATTAATGTAAAATATCCGTATTTTTTTTTTAAGTTTTTATAATACATAATATACATATTTCAATTTGATTCTTACGTTTTGAAATCTTGTCTGTATATCTCTTATTAAAATAAAAATGCTTTCATCATATATGAATAAAAACGTCTCTCATTAATTTCTGTATTTATCTCTTATATTATCATATAACATATATATATTTATATATATTTTTACAAGGATTTCTTAGCGAATTATTTCATTTTCATACCCTATATGGTTTTGTTAAAGGTTTGTAAAAGGCGTGAAGGCGTGGCCCCAAAAGGCATATATATTCATCATCTGAACGACGAGTTGAGGCGATTTAGCTCTGTCATCTGTCCATATCGATCTTAGAAAGCATAGAGATGTAATCATTTAATTGTAGGCTAGTGTATAGTATATTATATACTTATAGATTTTTTTTTTTTTAAATGTATTTTTCGTAAGTAATAAATGTATTTTTAATTTTCAATAACAACATTACAAGTCTACTTAATACTTAATATATATTTTTCAATTTTAATTTTTTATATTTTGATGTATTGTGTTTTTGTAATAAATTATCATAATTAATGTTGAGCTCGCGTGTCACGCCTTTCGCGCTCCTACTCTATCCACTCACTGCACCCACCGCTCTCTTCCCTCTCACTTCAACTTTACCTACTCTTAGTGAGGCGACAAATATTTATTTTCTTTATCAATTCTATTATCATGTCGCATCTAAGACGCCACGAAAAAAATCGATATATTTAATTCAATTTAAACCCCCATTCATTAGCATATCTATGGGCCAAAGCCCGTTCTAAGTATTCAAAACATTCTACAGTTTTTGTTTGTATTTTTTTTTTTTTTTTTTTTTTAAGCGGTTAATCGTAATAACACAATAAATTTGGGCCCCTTCGTTATTTCGTAATATTTTATTAAGTAAATACAAAGATATTGTACCTCTTATACATATAGTGGTTTTCTCATTTCCGTCCGTCTATCCCTCCGTTCGTATATCCCACCTTCCCTCCGTCTGTCTATCCCTTCATTCGTATATTCTACCGTCCGTCTGTCCGCACATCCATCCGTACGTCTATCCCTCCGTCCGTCCGCTTGCCCATCTCTATCTCACTCCGTCTGTCCGTTTGTCCATCCGTCAGTCTGTCCCTCCATCCGTTCGTCTGTTCCTGCATCTATTTGTCCGTCCGTTGTGGAAGTGCTAAAGAGTTAAAATTAGGAGTGAACCCTAGCGTCGACAATACAATTTCAAAAAGATATGCGGATATACCTAAGCCCATTAGGAACGTGGCAAATCCGGTAAAACTGCAATTGGTAACTTCCGACTGCAACTTTCTTATTTTTTCTTACTGAATGATTTGTTTCTGTCCTCTCAACTAATCTTGTCGGTTAAGGAAACTCTGCGTATGTTACTCCTATCATGGGACTCGACCTCTTTGTTTTTATCAGTTATGTTAATTAATTTGTATTGAAAAAAAAAACAAAAAAATTCAATTAATAAAAATATATTTGCAATATAAAATTCTTTGAAATATAAATAATTTTTATATATTTTATGGTTCATGGTCTTTGTTTTATATGGGAAGAGAAATTTGGTTATTTCTAACTTGCACGCCCAATCGAATGGGGGGATTTAGTAATTTAGAATTAACCAATACTTTGCCGCAGATTTCTACCGTTTATTTATACAAATTTCAGACTAGCCTTTTTTTTAATTTCTCGTGATATTTTTTAAGTATTTGAAAGTTACATCTAAGTCTATTTGTGGTATACGAAAACATGGTCCTTCGTCATAAACTTCTATAAATTTTTTGTTATTTGTTAGCAAGAAGACAGTCGGGTTTCTCTTGCGGCAAGTTTATTTTAGGACGGATTCAGTTTCAGATTCCGATTCAGTGGAACAAGCCTGCTAGGGTCGAGTTACTTACCTTTCTCTCCATAGTCTTTGTGGATGAACATGAAGTGGGCTTGAAATCAAATTTAAGTATAACATAAATAAATAAGAAATCTCTGCTCTAGCGTAGACAAATAGACTTGGTATTCAATGACATAATATAGTATAAATAATCAAGTAATGATTAGGTATAAACTCAGTTTCGTCCGCATGTAAACTGACTGGTTCAACTGGTTCTGTTCTACCCAGGAATGTCTGACTGGAGAATCCTTAGGTAGTGTTATATGTATTATTTGAATTTTCCCCTTGTTAAATTTTAATTCCTTCCGATTTCCCTAGTCAAGAGGAAACATAATCATGTAGATGTGTTATGCACCTGACTTATATGTTTGGCTATATATATATATTTTACGTGCATATTTATTCAGATCTCATAAAAGTCTTCTATGTGTGCTGGACATTTTGAATGTCTGCAGATATCTGTTATAACACTGTTGTATATCTGTCATATAACAGTCATATGTCTGCAGTGGTGTTTATTTTACGAGTCGCGACCGAAGATAATACCCATCTATCTGAACATTCATTTATTGTTTATCAATTGACGTTGACTTTGTATGCAAATCCTTCTCAAATTCAATTTTGTCCGTTGACATTTGGTGAGTGGGTGAGAGTGTCTGTGTGTGTGCGTGTGCGTCATTTGTTTATTTATACAGTTTTTGTTCTTTTATTTTTTGGCTTTTCCATGAATAGTTGGACAACTTTGTTACTGTTGCACATTCGCGTAATTCGTGCACAATGAACAAAATTCTGACACATTCTCGAGTGGTTCCAGCGAATATTTAACTCCCACAACGAGCCCCATTAAATGCCCACATTCACTGCACTTCCCACCACAACTACAGCCACTGCTCCTGCCCCTGCCCCTGCCCCTGGCCATGCCACTTGCGCTCCCAATCACGGCCGACCTCTTTAAAACAAAGGCCCTGACTGTACAGAGAGGAGCTGGGTTTTTATCAAAGCACGCTTTGAATACGCTCCAGAAACACATTTTGCGGCTATAAACAAAGGCGTATGCATATACATATCTAACCGATATAATAACCGATAATCTAGGCATATCTGCCCATCTATCTATGTCGTCTACAAATTTGACTTCTTGCGGAAGTTTCAATCGTTTTTAATGAGCTATCCCGCAAGCTGCATTCAAAATGAAATAAAAAGTGTAAATGCTGCTGCCCCTGCTGTGCTTTATGCTGCTATGTATATCGTATATATATATATATATATATATATAGTATATATATATATCGTATATAGTGTCTGTGTGTCGGCAAATATGTTACCATATATCTGCATATCGTATAAACATGTATTTGAATATCGTATAACAAGCTAGCTATCGAATATGCATTTGTCGTTACATATATATCGCCTAGGTATTTTTTTTTAATTTAATGAAATTATATTAATATTTATTTGATTTTTATTACTCTACTATAGGTAATATATAAGTACTGCTATTATAGGTAAAATGAAAAGCTGAAGAATAAACATTTATTTAGAATGGTAAGTGAAAATTAAAGAAATATTTAAATGATTTTAATAAATAAAAAAATTTAATTTGTGAATTAAATGAATATTACTTAAACAAAATTTGAGTCAGGCAATATTTGAAAAATAGGCATTACTTAAAATGTGTCCAAATATATTCTACAATGAAGAAAAAAAAGAAAAGTATATTAAGGGCGACTAGAAGTTCAATATTCATTGACTTTGACAACACTCTCTAATTTAATAACTATTATTATTATTATTATCATTATTAGTTTTGTTGTTGTATATTTTGCATTTTTTCTCTCTCTCTCTCTCTCTCTCTCTTCGAATGCTTTCCTAGATTTGTACATATAATATCATATACATATATATCATGTATATTAATATCAATATATAATATAAATGATGTTGCCCTATTCGATCTCTCATGTCCAACAATACTGTTGATTTACAGGGTATTCAAAGGCCAGCAAATGAGGCGTCACTACAATTTAATAATGTCCGCTCCCCTCTATAAAGATATATGTAAACATATATGTATACATGTGTGCGTGTTTGTGTGCCAGTGCCTGTCTTGTGGCACAATCAGCGTTTCTAATTAGCCGGCCAGACGCTGATTAGACTTTGGATTTTGGATTTGGGCAATGGACGGAGTCAAGTTTCAGCTGCAGTTTGAATTTTGTCGGCTTCGGTTTTGGCTTTCAAGCGGCCAAGCAACTGACGATCGCAATTTGTTTGCCTCGTGTCTGTTTAGCTTTCGAACGACGACAACAACAACAACAACAACGACGTCAGCTGCAACAGCAACAGCAACAACTGCAATTTACAACTCAAACATTTGCACAGTGCAACGAAACAAGTTGCATCAAATGAATATTGAACAGATGTGCACAATTGCACGACTCACTGTGCATACACAGAGCGAAATGAAAGATACAGAAATGCAAAAGCAAACAAACTGCAACAACAATGTGACAAGATGTTGTTGCTAATGACAAAGTCGTGTCGCCGATTCGTTTATTGATTTTGAATGCTCTACGAAAATGTGAAGCCCAACGAGAATATCATGTGGCTTTTATCCAAGTTTTGATCAGATGCGCTTTTCATTAATGTTATTATTATTTTATTGTCATTATTTATTATTATAATTATTATTATTCCTCATTTATCATAATCATTATACAATCATCATCATCATTCTTCATATTCATAATTTTTTTTTTCATATTCATTATTCATTATTTATGTTTATTATCATCTTTATTGTTGTTAATTGTTCATTATTTATTATTCATTATTATTATTGTTTTTTTAAGGCTTTTTATCATTATGTTTATTATTGGCACTTATTCATAGTTGATTGTTTATTATCATTGCGCATTATCATCATTAATTGATGATCATTGAAAATTCGCATATCATATTATAGTTCCTCAGTTTTACAATCGCAATTTGTAGTCCCGTTCATTTGGAAGCGCATTCAAGTCTTCAGATATGCTCTTCGTAATTTTTATTTTTTTTTTTATCTTTCTATTTTCTGTTCGATTGCGAGAGCTGCATGTGGGGGCGATGAGGCGTGGCACGTCTAGTGCATGCACTTGCATTTAGTATATATTTAGAAAAAATCACTTAGCGTTCAGCCAAATGGCTAGAGTTCAGTTTGCGGAGCATATTACTAAACTGGAGCATTAAGCAAAAGAGGGGAACCTGGGTGGGGCCTTGAGTTGGGCTTGAATTGCAGTTGGGTTGGGCTGCCCTGGGCTGGACTGGACTGCAGAGTATGTGTGTGTGAGTGTGTGTTTGTAGGTAGCTTGGCAAGCGTTAACGAGCTAACTAACCAAAATGATTTATGTAATCTGATCTGGCTGACAGCGAAACACTGCCTACAAAAAGCTGGTATACAGCAGGCTAAGCGTTGATTGGCTTTTGGTTTTATCGAAATACATTCAAGTATTTGATTTCAATGAAAATATAATAGCACTAGGCACTGCTGATTAGGGAGTTCTATGATCTATAATTATAGCTTGAACCCATTGAAAATATGAAATCAGAGTGAAATAATTTTGTTAAAAGTAGGCAACACATAGAAGGAGGCGTTTCAAATCTCAAAAAATACTATCTGAATCGAATTAGCCATGCCGTCTGTCTGTCTGTCCATCCGTCAGTCCCTATATATGTGAAAACATCAATTTCGGATGATATAAGGTCTATGGACCTGCAATTTTTATTGTAGATCCGTGTATTTCTCGCGCAGATTGAGTTTGTTTCCTATTTTCTCTTAGCACTGAAAAGCCTTATTACCTTATTTTGCATTAAGATTAAGATATATATTTTTATTTTTAAAATTGTTTATATTTCATATTTTATATTTTTTCCACATTTGTCCAAACTCCCCTTTTAAATGTCAATTGCAAGCATTGTGCTAATTGTGAATGAGTTGGCATTTGAATTAAAAAATGTCCCATATTGAATAGAATATGTAGATTATATGCTGAAAGAGTCACAATTGTTGTGCTGAATTGTGTTTGCATTCTCAGTGCAGTGCACTGCTTGATTTATTTGTTTGAATATGTTTCGGTTTCACTGCCATCTGGCCAAGCAGTGCAGTGGCGCTGCTGTAGAGTCAATGGGCGTTGTGTTTGAGTAGCCCAGGTTCGAATCCTGCCGATGTTAAGTGTGATTTCTTTTTATAATTTTGCTATAAATTCATTTTTTTATTTTTATTTATTCATTAGAAATTATATTAAAGTTTTTTTTTTTTTTTTTTTTTTTGTTCTTTTTGTTTTCTGCATTTGTAAATGAGTATATATACTATATATAAATAGCCATACCATTCGAGGTTCTTGCTTATGATTTACTTTTATTTGCTTTCATTGTTAGTATGAATATTATAATCAATGTTTATTGGCAATAGGGCGTAAAGTAGCTTTCGTTCTTGTTCATTATCATCGTGCATTATAATTGTTCATCGTCATTTCTATTGTTCATTATCACTATACATTATTATTATTCATTGTTATTAATTATCATTGATCATCCAGATCAATCCAGATCCCAAATGAATTTATTCATTAGCTTTTAGGATAAATAGACTTTACATACCTTACAGTGAATTGTTCATCGATCAGTTATTTGATTACTGAATCGCTACAAATTTATACAGTTGCCTTCTTACCGAGTATCTACTGTATATACATTTATGTAATTAATTTTTTAACAATGTCAAAAGTTTAAAGAGGGATCTCCAAAAGCCATTAAAAACCTGCTTATCCATTAAAATTTTGTAGTTGTCAAGTGTAAATAAGTCCATTTTTATATACCTCTCTCTCTCTCTCTATGTTTGCCATTGTCCCTCTCCCTCTCTCTCTCTCTCTGTCACTCTCGCTCTCTCTTCCACTTGGTAATGACTATTAAACAGTTGTTTATTTCTTCACTTTGTATTCGTTCACACACAATTATCTGGGCACTCGTTTGAACCTGTTGGTGGGGGATAGCAAGGAAGGGGGTGTCGGCAATGCCTGGGAGCCATACATTTATAAATATTAATGGCAGCTCCCACGACTGGCATTAACCGATATCAATTATCGGAGCAAAACTGAGGTGTCGTTACAAAATTGATGGAATACAACAATAAATGGGGGAGAACAATCACTTCGTGTGAGCCAAAACGAAAGACTTATGCAACAAACTTGACCCTTTGAGAAGGGAATGGATGGGCGTGGGCGGGGACGGGAGCGGTGCTCAACTGTTAGTCATCAAACAGCGCCAGAGCTGTGCCACAGCATGTGGCATGCCACATGCCGTTTGCTGACCAAAACCAAAAACGTTTCCCACGCTCGCAATTTCGGCCAAGTTAAGCAAACTATGTGCCAATGTATGTGTGTGTATGTGTGTGTGTGTGCTGCTTGGGTGTGTATAGCATGTCTAGCTGGGGGCATGGTCAGAGGCGTACGCTGCGCGCTGGTGGCACTACTTGGCTGGCTACCGTTGCACGCCCCGGCTAGATCCAGAGCCTAACCAGAGACCCAAGAGCCGAGCCAAGACCGGGCTGAAGCGCTGAACCCAGAACCGGTTGCCAGAGTCAACACAAAAAATGCAAGGGTATATTGAGTATATAGAGTATATGGGGTATACATGTATGTATGTATGTGAGCTTTGCAATGTTTATATATGTATGTATATAACTGTGTGTTATGTATGTATATGCGAATGCTTGGAAGGGCCAAGTCAAAAAGGGAAGCAAATATACAAACGTTTCTCTCGTCGGTAGTGTACGCGCAGATACTCTGTAATCTGTCTAATATAGTACATCAGAGGGATGAGTTGCATATTGGAATTTAAAACTTAAAGTGTCTTGAAATATTTTTTTTTTAGTTTTATCAAAATATATTGAAAAAACTTTTTAAATTAATGTAAAGACAAATAATTATATATTGTTTATAGAAAAAATATTTAAAAATATTCATATTATATAGGTACACAACAAATGAAGTGTATATATCTATACAATTTATAAAACTGAAGTTTATATAGAGTATTGAGATAAGGCAGATATATAGTAGATCTGTTAGATCAGTATTAGCGCAGGAGACATTATATTAATATGTACATACATATATCTATATGCCAGATATACCACTAAACATATCTATGTACATACATATATATACAACTGTGGTCAAAGAAATATATACTAATAATTCTTTGGTCCTCTTGGAGCACAAATTTGGCGATAAACTCAATATTTTGAAATAAAAAAATCTTCAGTAATTAGTATATTGTACATACATATATTGGTATATATTGATATTAGTTTAAATGACAATATTGATTTACTGAGTCTTTGAATGCAATTATGTTAAAAGTTGAGTGAGATCGGGAGTTAGACTTAGGCTATGTAGAGCTAAGTTGAGGAAATGTAAAGCTTCACATAAGACCCGCTTGACCGGCCATCTAGGGTATTAGAAATCAAGTTTTGCATTTTTATTTAAATTTATTGGTTTTGGCTCTGGCTTTGAGAGGTTTGTTGCCAGGCAGCAGCCACAGTCGCACAGGCAGCTTGCAACTTGTTTGCCAACGTTCAACAGCCAGTTTTAAATATGGCGACGCACACACCATCAGCAACACACTAAAACAAACAAACACACACACACACACACACGCACAACTAGAACTATACTTGAAGTTAGCATAAAACATTTTTCAGCTGCATTCGCTTTGACATTTATAAAAGCCAACGCAGCCGTAGATAGCATGAATGAAGTAACCAATTGGCAGATACCCTGTAATTTGTCATATATTTTATTTATTATCTTGAATAGTTTTTCTGTGTTTGTTCGAAAGTGTTGGAGAATGCGCCCAAGTTCAACATCAACTTCATAGCAATTTGTTTTGTGCAATATAAAAATAATATGTTATATGGAAATCTGATCCCACTATCAGATAAATTAAATAAATATATATATATATGTAATCATATTTTTCATCTTCCAACTTAAGATTTTAATATCTTAAGTATATATACATATATATATTTTAGACATCAGATTCATGTATATATTTATTTATGAAAATTTAACCCTTTGATTGTCAAGTTTTGTTGAAATATCTTGAAGTATATATATAAATATATAAATTTCACGGAACATCTTTATTCATTGACCCTTGCTATAAGTGTACACATAATAGTCAAATATTATTATTTATAAGGCAAGCAAAGGAATGATATTTAAAAAAAAAAAGAAGAAAAAAAAACAAAAACAAAGGGCTTATCAAGAACTTAGTTTGTAAAAGAATGATAAAATAATGTTTAATACAATGCACTTTAGTTTCTTATTTTTAGCATTAATATACCCTCTAATGAGCTGCATAGGATAGTTTCGCTTGGGCTGCTCAAGTACAGAGAGAGATTGTAAAATAAAACTAGCACAGAGATAAGCACGAATTGGGATGAATACAATAAACACGCGGGCTTTTCCTATTCTTTTTCATGATCTTTTTCCCTATTCTATTATGATGGCATAGCAAAAAAAAAAAAAAAAAAAAAAAATAGAAAGAGCAGCACAATACATTTGAGTTTCCTTCGATTTGTTTTACACTTAATTAAAGCTGAGTAGAGGGGGCGTGTGGGCTGGGCGTGGCATGTGTAGCATGTGGAGCGTGCAGCTACATGCGCACCTGGAATTTGCCCGCTTTGGTTAAGTATTTGACGCCCTTGAAGGGCTTGTATTTCTCGCCGTACATGTCCAATCGATTCACCTTCAAACCGGATACAGCGAGCTGAGAGATTTGGAATTGCACATTGATGGAGGGATTGGCATCGATGTTCGGTGTGCCAGGTGTTAATGAGACCTGAAAGCGATAAGAGAGAAATATATATGTATGTATATATTTCTATATACTACTTTTCCTTAGTCATAGTCCTTACCGATCCTCGTATGTTGGGCAGCTTCGACACATCGATGCGTCCGACATCCCAGGCAAGCGTTTTGCTCACCGAATCGAATGTGTATTTGCCCTGATTGGGTGTTAGCAGGCAGTTCAGCACACACCTGGGCATCGTTAGCTCCAGCTTCACCTTGTCCACGGTCCGTCCAAGTGTGTTGCGTGGCCCGATTGTGAGATCCAAACGCCCCTGCTCGCCCGTCTTTATTGAGAAATTGTGCCGTATATAGATGGGTATAGCCACAACCGATTGCGAGCTAATATGATAGGACATTAGACGGAAATTGCCATCGGGCGGTATGAAGGAGAGCAGACGCTCGGCCTCCCAGCGCTTGAAGCGTACGCAAGGATGAAATGAGACATCGTCAAAGAGACGCGGATTCATAAAGGAGAGCGTTAGGTCCGGCATGCCCGACAGCTTGATGCAACAGTCAATCTGCAAGGGGAGGAATTATAGAGTTTCACGGCCATATATGCTGTCTTTGTCTACCCACGTGTCCCTGTATCTCAGAGAAGACCGTTGAGCCGGATTTGTCAATGATTGCATCCACCTCCTCGATGACATCAAAGTAGGCCTCGTTGTTGGTATACCGCACGCCGCTGCGGCGCCAGGGTATGGCCGACAGCTGACCGGATGGCAAAATAGTGCTGACGCTGCAACCGCAAAAAGAATCCATTAGAGAGTCCTTATCAAGGATGAGTTGGGACTGGTGGACATACTTGCTCTTGCCGGTGACTGTATTTGCAATGGTTCTTAATATGTTCGGTGGCTTAATCAGCTCCTTGAGTATGTTGCTCTCGGTGGCCAGGGGGAAGCCATTGTCAAGCATCTCGTCGAGCAGCTCATAGACAACCACATAGTTATCCTTGATCACAGACTCGGAGCAATCGCTGAAATAGTCCTGGAAGGTGTCCACCACACGATGCAGAAATTCGATGACAAACAAAGGTGGCACCTCCTGCTTGCAGGCAGCGACCAAGGAGACGCTATCCCGCTGTACAGTGATCAGATAGTAGTGGGGCGTGGCAATAACGGGCGGCACATCCTGCAGGAGCAAAAATAGAAATCATTTACATGTCAAGGGCATGGGAAATCAAAGCATCACTAACGTAGGGAGCGGCACGCTGTGCATCGAGAAAGTATTCGCAAACGGAGCGAGAGACAACGGAACGCCAATGCTTCTCTAAAAAGACTTCGCTGTGGGTGAAATCGAAGTTATCACATTTTTCAGTTTACTGTCAACATCTGTTGTCTAGCTTACCCGCTGTTATTAACTATGAACAGGCTGTGTATCATATTTTGTTATTGTTGCTCTTGGTTAACTATGTCGGCATATGTTTAAGCAAACGCTTGGCTTTTTGCAAACAAAAAAAAAAACGAAAAAAATTGTTTACGTGTTGAGTAAATGTAGAAATACTAAACAAACGTAGATTACAACGTAAAGCTAACAGACGCTGTTAGGCTCTAACAGCGCACGTAAGCAACTTCAAATAACGTCGCAATTCGAAAAGCTCGAGAGCTATGTTCTTTATATGTAAAATAAATAAAATGATTTGTAATTTTCATTGTATGACTTGAAACTGGTTAAATAACAAATGTTTAACTTTAACAGTGGTCCTATTTTCTTAACAACATTTTCCCCATTTTACATCCATAAGCAGCATACCCTTCATGAACGCTCAAAAGAGCAACTTGACGCAAAAAGGAGCTGGCTTCACGTAACAGCTGATAAATATTTGAAACAGCTGTTCAAAAACAGAAACTCTTTTCGGCAGCTGTATTTGGGTTGCTCTACTTTATTTTGTATAAAAATTTGTACTAAATTAATAGTATCAGTTGGTAAGCTGTATGCAGAACACTATATAAATTACGTTGACTTCAACATAAATTTGAAGAGCTAAACGAAGCTATTCGCCTGGTCAGATAATTGGACCGGCCAGCTTATATAATTCAAATACCGGATGACTCTATATAGCAGATCTGTGCAACGTCTGCTTGACAGTTGGCCTGGTAAGCAGCGCTTTGGCATCTACCGCTTTCTGCCGATATTCTTTGTTCTGGGCGCGGCGCTGGAGTACTCCATGATCAACTGGACCGTGGGCGAGACGAATTTCTGTGAGTTCCGAGCCTCGATTATGTGTAAAGACTTAATGAAACTAAACTCGTTACCTATTGTAGATCGCACGTTCAAGCGCAGGCAGGCGAAAAACTACGTGGAGGATCAACTGCAACAGCAGCAGCATCAACTGAAGGAATCGATTTAATCATGCCCGCCGGAGTCTCGTGGGGCCAATACATGAAGTTCTTGGGCAGCGCAATGCTGGCCATGATGGCCGGCTCCCAGGCAGTGCATATGTACTTTAAGCCCCTGGACGATTTGCCCGTGTACATAGAGAAGGAGAAACAACAACTACAGAAGGAGCACGGCACAGTTAATAGTTAGCTTTAAATATAAATATAATATATTTCTTGTTCTATCTGTACTATACAACTAAAGAGAGAACTTATGTGAATTAATCACTTGGACTTCTCATGCACTCTGCCATGATTCTTAAGGCACGTCTGCTGCCTGAATGCCTGGCCACAGGTCGAGCACACATAGGGCTTCTCTCCGGTGTGAATGTACTCGTGATGGCGTTGGGTCTTTCTTGATGCAAACGATTCGCCGCAGTAACTGCAGCCGAAGGGTCTCAGCTTCAGATGCACCGCCCGAACGTGGGCTTCCAGCTCGAATTTGCGGGCAAAGAGACGGCCGCAATGCTCGCATGGCAGCTTCTCCGCGCTGTGCATCAGCATGTGCTGCATGAGCATGAAGCGCTTAGCCACACGCCGGCCGCACACCTTGCATTCGTGCATGAGTGTTGGCTGATCCTGGGAGGTGTCTGAATTGCCGCCTCCGTGCTGTTGCATCGTATGGTATTTCAGTGTGTAGCGAGAGTGGAAATGTTTCTGGCAGATATCACAATAGTACTGTTCGCTGGCTAGCGCATTAGCTGCCGCCTCATCCTCGGTGGGATGCTTGGTGCGCCGATGATATTTGAGATTCGCTGTCTGATTGAACGTTGCGCCGCATTGCTCGCAGACATACTTTCGGGCTGGGGCCGCAACGTATTCGGAATGCTTCATTCGCTTGTGCTTCTGCATGGCTATGCAGCTGATGTAGACACGATCGCAGCCGGGATGGTCACAGCGATAGGAGCGCTCCTTTGGGCTGTGAATCTCCTTGATGTGTGTGTAGAGGCCGCTCATGAAGCTGTATGCCTTGTCGCAGCGATCGCACTGGAAGGGGCGTTTGTTGCCCTCGTGCACCTTGCGAATGTGTGCGTCCAAAGTGAGATTGTGGGCAAAGTTGTGACCGCATTGGCTGCACTTGAAACTGTTCTTTAAGCCTTTGCTGCGCCGATTGGTGCTGGGCATCTCCGGCTTTCTTTGATTGGGTTGCATCTCCTCTACCACTGCCTCCGACTCTTCTTTGGGTAGCTCATCTATAGGGTCAGCCTGGTTCTCCTCCTGGCTTGTTGTCTCGAGCAGCGGCTTTGGCTCTCGCTCCTGCTTCTCCTGGTCTTCAGCTAGAGGCTCCTCGTACACAACCTCAAATGCCGCATTTTGTTGTTCCTCGACGATCTCCTTCTTTAATCGCATTACCATGGACAGGATATCTTTGCGGCAAGCATTCGCCCGCTCCTGAAACTCACGAAAGCTCACAAGCTGCTGGTGACAGCCTCGGCACAAATGCTTGGGCAGAAATTCAATGTTAAATTCCTCTGCCTGCCAGTCGAGATGCTGCAACAGCGAATGCCATAAATCCGCATCAATGGCTTGAGCTGTCGACAGCTCATCCGAGTCAAAGCGATGCAGGCAAGTCAGGCAATTGTTGTTGGTCAGCAAAGTATGCATGGCCTCTGCAAAATGCAAAGTGAATGCAGCAAGCAGACCGAAGGCTAGTTGCACGATTGAGTGTCTTTTTAACAGTGGCCTAGTCGACGGATGGTAAATAAAATATGTGTGCTCAACTGTGGAGCAACAATGACAGAACTGTTTGACAATGTTAATGTTAAATGGCGTTGCCACCTTCAGTGTACACTGCTTGCGATTTACAGCTGCCATGTTCACACGATATAATTATTTGTGTTAACAGCTTACAAAATATTTTGCAACGCCTAAAAGCTGCTGCATAGCTATTGCATAGCGAATTATGGCTAAGCAGTTTTGAAAACAAGTTTACAATCAATTTGCCAGCTTAGTTTTGGCTTCCATTATATCCATCAATTACTGCTCAACAATTATATTGAGTTTAAATGCGTTAGTTTCACAGTTTCATACACACATCGTAATTAACATAGCCACATAAACGTGCTTAACATCGCCAGTGCTGCCATATGTTTAGCCATTTTCTGTGTATTTTTGCACTGTACGTTAACTGCGTACGCTTGTTGTCTCTGCTCGTGTGTGTGTATGTGTGTGCTTGGAGTTAGCGCGCCAAGCTAATTGGGCGTCCCATTGCTGCCAGTTGCATGCTAGTGTTCAACAGCGGCGCACGCGATGAACCAGATGGCAGTGCAGGCACACCCATTGGCCAAGTAACAGTTATTTTGGCGCGCATTTCAATTCGTTCGTGCTTTTGTTGCTAATTGCAGAGCGCATTTAAAAAATTCATGCGATTGCGATAATACTTTGTATTGAGCGAAACACTGTTATTTTTGTTGTCAATTTTGTTTACGTGGCTGTCAGACTGAGTGGCTGTCAGACTGAGTGGCTGTCTGTGTGTGTGTGTGTCTTCACTTGCAACTTTGCGCGTCAGCAACACAACATGTAAATCCTTATCAATGGCATCGATCAGTATCAGCAGCGGGCCCAAATACCGTTACAAATCCCTTGTTGGCTCGCAACAACACTGGCTGCACTGCCTACTGCGGCTGGGGCTGTTTGCCCACGGTAAGTCGAACACGGCGTATGCTTGATTTCTTGTTGTATTTTTTGTTTGACAGCAACAGCTGCCCGAATCGCCTGCCACTTATGGCGGGTACTTAAAAGAATATTAAACCAAATTCCGGTTGCCCCCCCAATTCTCTGCCCATTTCCCCAATTGCATTAATGTGCAAAAATAAGGCGAGCAAATAATAAGGAAAACGCTATTAATATGCAAAATTTCCCAGCCAAGATGCTTGCACATAAAAAAAATACATGCATATATATTTATATGCACGTATACATATGCACATACATGTATGTATATATGTATGTGCGTATCGGTAGCATAAGCATACGTGTATGTACGTTTGTATGTGCAGCAGGGCCCATGGCCTCCCGCTGAGAAGTGCACGCGGCGGAAGAAGAGAAACAAACATGAGGCGTGAAACAGTCGGAGACAACTAATTAGAGCCGACTGCGCCATACTCTGTTTTCATCCGCAGATCAGTAATGGAATTGATAAATGATTGAATAAACGAGCTTTGAAGTTTTATTAACTTTATTTGCAATAGCCGTTGATGTTTGTTTTAATTTTTGTTTTTTAATTTAAAATGTATATTGTTTGATTTAATTATTAATTTTTTTTTTAAATTCGAAAAAATGTGTGTTTTTTTTTTTATAAGACTTTTACAGTCTGATTTAGATTTCATTCGAGCTAAAGATGAGCTTCTATCAGTTGCAAAGTCGAACTGTAGAAGCTAAGGAACATTGGACTGAAAGTCTTGCAAATATGTGTAATTAAAATATTATAAATAATGAACTCAGCAAACTGACTCGATTATATGTTGAATGATATTAGTCTTACCTTGAAATAAAACAAAAATACTAAATATCTATGCATATGCTATGCATCGCATAAATATAAATAGCAATCAATTAGAATTTTAAACTAAATGGACATAGATGAATATGAATGCTTTAAACTCTGTCAACCTGACACTTAACAAATATGCGCCACTTAAATATTGCAAGCAGAGCATAGGAGCAGAAAGCAGAAACAATAACAGCAACAAGAAAGACCAACAGAAGAGCACAGGCGATCAAAAACAAAAAACAAAAAAAAGCAAAGTAAAGAAGAATAAAAGTACATATAGAGATAATCTGCGGAAAAGTGTGAAGAAACTTTGTGCGCTGCTGTTGTTCTTGTTGTTGTTGTTGCTGCAGATGCTCTGTTATTGTAAAACACTTGGACACCTCCCACAACGCAAACTAACGTCTCTTCCCGTCCCTCTTCCTCTCTCTCTCTCTCTGTCTCACTCTGCTGCTGGATAGTTTGTGCAAGAGTTTTTCAGAGATTTAGCATAGAGCACGGCATGGGGCATAAGCTGACTTTTGATTGACCATTGGCTGTGGCGTCTTGGAACTTGGATGATTATGACATCAAATGACTTTCGATTCGTGCAATTACATTCAACTTCTGCATTGCTGTTGAAAATAGTTAGAACTTTACAACTTTTGCAGCACTTTGTTGGCAGTTAGTTTTTTGGGCAATGGCAAAGTATTTCAGACGTGAGAAAGAGTTGGCTTTGCACATTTTGTGGAAAGTTCGAAATGATATTTGTAAAGAAAAAATAAACAATATTCACAAGAGAGAGAGAGAGAGAGAGGTGGGAAGAGAATGAGATACAGAATATTGCTGGAGGAAAAAAGTCAAAAATAATACAGAGCGAGAGAGTAAGATAGTGAGAATGAAAGAGAGAGAGAGAGAGAGAGAGATAAAGCGATTTAGGAAAGATATACTGAGACAGAAAGGGTTAAACAGAGAAACAGATAGAGAGAGAAAGAGAGAGAGAGCGCGCGAAAGAGATAGAGATAAACAGAGACAGAAACCATGGAATGGAAGATTTAATATACGATGTAAGATATAAGAAAATATAGTAAATATAATAAATAAAAGTGCAGAATATGGGGGAAAAAAAGGTGCGAAGGAGCAAACGAATAAAGCGATTGAAAGACCGTCTGAATGAAAGAGCAAGTAAGGAGCAAAAGTCAGACAGACGATCGAGTGATAGAGAAAGCAATGCATGGCTGTAGAAGACTGAAGTCCCTCTTAAAAAGAAGATGAGAAGAGCTAACCAAAAAACGAGAGAGTAAGAGAAAGTGTGTGGAAACATACAAATGGAAAGACAGTTAATAATAACATCTGCCAAATTTCAGTAAAATCATTATATATTCGCGAAACAATCTGTCAGCGCATTAATCAGCATTTTTATTGAACTGAAACAATAGAAATTTGTCGATTTAGAAAATGCAATAAATATTTATTGCATGAGGTGGACGGCCAGCTGCAATGAGATGATAAAATGCTTATTTATCTTTCATTCAGCAAATAGCAATAAATTTGCAATGCAACTAGATTTAATGCTGTCATATACCCTGGACACAGATCACTCGCAGGGATGACTGAATGAACAATTTGAATTAAGATTGTGAAAATAGTTAGACTGTAAACTCTGTATATCATTTAAGAGATATTTATATGAATTACCTAATACCACTTGGGAGCTCTAGCTCTATAAAATACATCCATAATTAAGTGGAATAACCCATAATAAGATCTTAAATTAGACCATGACTTTCTCAGAGAGGGTGTTTGCTAGTCGTACACTCCACAACTCTGACATATATTGCATATTCATTTATTCAATTCAGAATTTGTTTTGTTTGTGTTATAATTTTAGTTCACTTGGGAACTAAATTAATCAATTTTTAGCTGAAAGCGGAAAAAGCTAGAATGAACGAATCAAAGCCGCTACATACCCTGTAAATGTATTTGGGCATTGTCGAAAGACTTCATTTGCATCAATAATTTGTGTCTACCTCACCTTCTTCTAATCTGTTTCACTCCCTCTCGTCTCGCTTCAAAGTGAGAAAATTTCTTTTATTGAGATTTTGTTAGCTGAATTATGTATGCGTGTGATTTATGTATTTCATTGTTAGACATTTTTTTTTTTTGCATTACAAAAAGGACTCGCAGCGATGAAATGTTTTCTTTTGTTTATTTTTTATTACATTTTTTATTTATTTTTTGTTTTGATTTTATTTTTATTTTTTTTTTATTTCAAATATATTTGGCACTCGGTTGAAGGGCTTCTGGTCGGTCTGCTTATGTAAATTGCGCTGTGGCAATGCGAATGCCAACCCAAGCGCCAGCCTCTGGGGAGAGATGAGTGAGTTGTGCAAGTTGGCTCTGACGTTGTTCTGTGACGCAGACGTCAACGTAATCGTCTTAGCTGCAGTTAGTTACCTGTCTAACTGTCTCCCAGCATGGCTGCCCCCTGCAAATGACAGTTAAATCGAGCGATGCCTAATCAGATGCAACAACAACAACAACAACATCGGAAACTCGCGAGGGTCAAAACTGAGTTACAGACAGAGTAAAAGGCCGGAGACTGAGCCAGACAGGCACGGATACACTGACAGTTATTTATAGCTATATTTCATTTATAGTTGAAAAGAAAAAATTTAATCTTTAAAATTTTAGTCAAACAAATTTGAAAAAAAAAAAGATTTCTAAGTCAAAAGTCGAATTTTATTTTTCTTTTTCATTTCTATCAGACACATTTGAGAATAAGATTTCTAAAATGTATTCATAATAATAGTTTTATATTAAGGAATTGGAATTGGACAATCGTACGCTCTGACGTAGCCCAAGACAAATTCAGGAGCAGAGCCAAAGCTAGACTGAACCATTAATAAAGCTCTAGTCGCGACTGCTCGACTAGGATTTACCCTAGCCCCTTCGAAGAACTGATATCCCAGCGATTCTACGGCTCTTTTCAACATCTTTAAACTTGTCTAAAATACCTAACTTAATATAATAAAGCTTTAAAAATAAAAAAAGGATAAAATATACTAAAACTAACTAGCTACCATTGATCTATAGGTAATCTCAGCTCGATGCGAGAGAAACCTGCTAAGTAAAGCTTAAGTTTAGGGATCTCCTCTCATACTAATACAGTAGAATCCGATTCTAACAACGCTTAAGGAATACTCAGAACACTCTATAAACATGTAAGTTTACTCATATACATAAGTTTGTCTGGGAACCAGAATTTTCGTAGTACGATCGATATGAACGAAGTCTTTATAATTGGATTCTACTGTAATTGAAAATGTAACAAATAAATACCATCTTCGATAACTCTAAGAGCTCTGTTCTGGAACTCTCACAACTCTTTTCATTTATTTTAGGCATATATATATTGTGATCCTCCGTTGTATATCATTATATTGCCTTGGTTTTTATTCAGCTCCTTCTTCGATGTCGTCTTTATTAGCTCAATTATCCTTTAACGGTCATTCCCGTATACCAATTTCTCATTCCTTATCAATTATTTCGCACCGTGTACCTGATAACAGATTCTTTTTCCCTCCCTCTCTCCTGTTGCCTCTGGACTGGCAGCACGCACTTCCTTTAGCTCCAACTCTTACAGTTTTTTCGTTTTGTGCCTTTTGTTATGTTGTTGCTGTTGTCTCTTGTCTTGTCTTGTTTGGGGTGCTGTTGGGGCTTTTAGCCCTTCGTGTGACAGTGGCCCTAAGCCAGTTAAGATAGGTAACGCGCTCCCACACGCGGTTACTCAGTCCGTTATTTTTCGCTGCCTTTGATTTGTAACTCGTCTTTGTCTCTCTATTTCTACACATAAAATAATGGGCCTTTTTTCGCTGTTGTTGTTGTTGTTCTTGTTGTTGCATCGGGTTAGCCAGGTAAACTGTGCCACGGCTCCCCAAAGAGCGTTCAAAGCATTTCGCACTAAAAGCATAGACTGTTTATCTCGGTCGGTCCGATCCGATATGCTACACTGACACTGCCCGCAAATTGAGTTCAGCTGCGTGAATGTGGCAGCAGAAAGAAGAAGCAGCAAGGAGTAACAGAAGTTTGAGAATTATGGCTAACAGTTAAGCTATTCATTTAGTTATAAGCAAGGGACGGTGGGGTGGGGAAGTGTTTCAAGGCGAGAAAG